GTGGTTCAAATCCCAACCTGGAAAAACGAGAGGGCTTGAAGCCCAGGAGCCCTCGCTATGCTTTGTCTTTACCTAAGTCATCATTGTATTGTTGTGCGAACTTATAGAAACGTCTTTGCAATGCAAAAACATGTACCCGATAATCGTTTTGAAAAGACGTTTCTATCAGTTTGAATAACACACATGATGACCTAGGTAAAAAAAAAGCATAGCGAGGGCTCCTAGGCTTTCAAGCCGTCTCGTTGATCCTAACCAGCTGGGAATAACAAACAATTTCTCACCAAAGTACGCTGTAAGATGTGACTGCCAGTGACCATCACTGCTTCGGTGCCAGTAGATGTTTGAATACTGGAATGTGATCGGGATAATTGATCATAAGATCAGGAACAAATTGGCTACTTTTCTGGGTCTTTGCTGCCCCGTGTTCAAGGATCGTCTGTGCAGAAAAAAGGGTGCGCACATTCAAAGCGTGCAAAACCACACACACACACACACACACACACACACACACACACACACACACACACACACACACACACACACACAAACGCACGCACACGCACACACACACGCACACACACGCACATACACACACACACACACACAGCCATACGCTGCTACACGAACTGTGTACGTGTATAAACACCATGTTGCTACATGGACTGTAGCCAGGCAGTCTTGAATTCGTACTTTATTTGTTACCTCTGCTACAGTACTGTCGGGCGCCGAACAACAGAGCGCTCAAGAACGACCAGGCTGGAATTTCACCAAGCACAGCATACCAATGTATACATGGTGACTCAACTGTGTACATACTGCACTGTAATACTTGAAGTACATGAAAATAACTTTTTAAAATAAGAACGGTCTAGGCTAGGAGGCTGACCCCCAGACTACCAGTTCTTCGGCGACCGACAGTACTGTACCCTCCTGCAATGCTACACCTCTCTGCGCTCATGTGACTTTGCCTGTACATACTACCAGGACTGGCAGAGAGTACATCATGATAATGCACTCTTAGAGATGTACATGTATACAGGGTCAAACTGATGTTCATGCAGATATCCGAAACTGACAAAGCCTTAACTATGTGCAAGTTGATTCTTTTGACTCCTGTAACCTACGATGCAGATACATGATAACAAAAGTAGATAAACAAGAGTGTGCAACTCGGGATGGGTTGTCCCACGGCGGAATTTTTTGTTGACGTAATCTTTTCGACGACGCACGCGCTGCGAGTCTTTTGGAAAGTTTTCCCTCGTGCACTTGGCCGGGCTTTACACTACAAGGTCGGTGCCCAGCACGTGCTCTCACACTGCTCTGTGGCAAAATGCGCGTTTCTCTGTCTGAAAAAAGGTGACGGCAACAAAAATTCCGCCGTGGGCGGGGTATCTGCAGACTATGCAGGAGAGATCCGGAGTTGCACACTCTTGTTTATCTACTCTTGATGATAATGAACAGTAAAATGAAAGAGGATGAGCAACAGGTTTGGTTGATTGAGGAGGACTGTCACAGGTTGCCACATCTAGTGCTTTTAACCATACAGTACCATGGCGGAAGCGTCATCTGGAAAATGTGTCGATCGGCTTGAAATTCGGATTATTCCTCCGAAAGTGTATGGAAAACAGTTCTAAACACCACATGAAATTCATTTTATCAATTTGCATAGGTTGTTTATCGAAATCCTTTGGCCAGAAACCAAATCCTATATAGGATTTGCTGGGGACAGAATAAGAGATAGCGAACCGCCCGACTCATTTTTCGACTTTTGTGTTTTATCAGTTTACACAGCGAAAATGCGGCCACAAATCTATTGTTCCGGTGGTCCGTGTGCCCGTACGTACGTTGCATTATTTGGTGACAAGGCAATAGTGGAACATGAAAAGAAAGGTGAACTGTTTGTTGTCCCTTACCCCCTCCCCCCCCCCCCCCCCTACAATTTATTCCTGGCTAGAACCCTGTACAGTGGACACTGATTCTTTCATACAGCTGCTTGCATCATACAGATCTCATGGGCGAAGTCCAGGAATACAAAAAAGCATCATTTTACATTTCAGTCACCTATGCCATCTCTATGTGTCCTGCTCCTTCCTACTTTAAACTCACCGGAATACAGTAGCATCCTTGCCACTTCAGTGCCGATGCTTCAAGAACAACATAACCATTAGGAACATGACCTGGATGATGTAGTAGTCGTGTATCCTTTACACCCAGGCAGGCCACAACACTGAAACCATGACCTGTAGCTGCAGTCATATCTACTGATACACCATTGTATACATTAGCCGGATACGCATCAGTCTCCACTGGTTCATGGTCTTGGTTGAATATGCACAATGCCTGAACTTTCACACCATCCACCAGAGATATGCCAGTGGTGTACTTTGGGCCAATGAAGTATGACAGCATATCATACATACGACCTGATTGCTGACTTTTCACATCTTCCTGGAACCACACAGAACACTTGTCCATTATCTGTTGTCGTTGATTTGCAGTAACAGGGAGAGTGTTGTGCAAAAGTAGCAGTTGCAACTGTGTGCCATCGCATTCTGCTCACACCAAATATTCAAAAATAGAGAGAAAAACAGGTAACATGATAGACAGAGGGACAGACGCCTAGATTGACAGACAGACACAAACAGACACAGACACAGCCACGCACACACACACACAAACACACACACACACACATGCACGCACACACACACACACACACACACACACACACACACACACACACACACACAAACAGACAGATACAGACCACCACATGGACACCACTATATATCAGATTGACTTGTAGCGACATGACTATGAACAGAAAGGTGACGTCTGAAGACAATCATCAGCGACTCTCACATCAACTTACTAAAACATCATGCCAAAGTACACCGTGGCAAAAGGCCTTTAGTCTCTGAAATCCATCAAACAATACCTATTTACCCCCCCCCCCCCCAATCCCATCAGTGGTCATGACTATAGATCAAGCATTTCTATGACACGCAAGTGAAAGCACACATGTCTGTACTGGATACAGTGTAGCTTGAACCGTAGACACCATATTTTTAAATCAAAAATATAGCTATGTACTTGAACAGTGAGGTGAGAAATAAAAGAGTATCTCTGTGTATTTGTATTGCAGTGTTCTTTCACGGCAGTTACATGTGTTTAGAAACACCACAACCAACAACAAACACTACAGTCTCTATTCAACAAACATTACTCAGAGAATAGACTTACTCTGTATCAGTTGATCAACACTGATCAGCTTCAGCAAGGCACTGCACTCTACACCACACAGTGTACAGTAGAGAAGTAGTGAGAGTACTTGAGTATGACGATACTTTGGATCACCTGTACTGTGTATGGTCAAATAGCGATTCTTCAAGTTTTGCGCCAGGCAACGATCGGGTGAATTTAACATGAACAGTGCATGGGTACACTGGGCAACAACTCTGCATTGATCAAGGCACAGGACATCAAGATGCTGCTGAAGTAACTTCGTGAACACTGGACTTGTACAGCAACAAATTGCTGTCCAGTGCAGTACCCATCTCAGGTGCTCTTGATTCTTGTAATCTCGCCAGACATCAGTGGGTAGACTGGCTAGTTGATGCAGTGCAGATACTGCCAGCTTGGTCACTTCAGTGTTCTCCTCCGTGACCAGAGCACAAGCATGTAGGATATTCCTAACTATGTTTGGACTCCGTAGTTCAGTTACATGCCGTTGAATCAGAGCACATTGAGATATAAAATCAATAGCTTGAAAAGTGCGTGTCTTGTGAATTCTATCAAAGATTGACTCAATTGCGTAAAGGGCATCTCGTACACTAGTGCCATGATTGCCAGGCCGAATTGACTGATACCTTACACCTGGAATGGAGTGCGGTGATGCCTGAGTGGATATCAACTTGCAAGTAACATTGAGTTTTGACGAGGCTACTGTGCTCACACCATAGCCATGCTGAACAAAGTAACCGACACTCTTCAGATTGCCACGTAACTTTGAAGCAAACATGCTGTGTTGGTGTATTCTCTTCAGCAAGACTGATCTCCACCACCTCCTACAGCACATAACAATAGCACAAAAACAGCACAGTGACTGGTCAGCACAACTCAATAGACAACATCAAATCAACATCACTCCTTGTACAGCGTACACTGTAGATCACTCATTGTGTGCTGAAACAGAGTCGTGGAAGTATTATGTATCGCTGCAGAAAATTGAGAGGGGGGGGGCAACAGATTTGAGTGTCCACAGAAGTGTAAATTCCGCCTCCTGCAGTTGTACACCAGTAGGTATTTACATTTCGGAACTATCGCTAGAGCGGTTCCACCACTCTCAGCTGCATGCCACACCGGGGCCCTTACAGCCTTCGGGTGGGAGCCGGGAGGCGAATGATTGAAATATTCTCCTATTTTTTAGGCGAGTGGATTCAAACTCGCAGCTCCGTAAGTCTAAGTACAATGAGAGTGGCTAACCAATAGCTTGTCCAGCAACTCTCCGTAAGTCTGCTGGAAGACACCCAACGTAAGTCTGCTGGAAGACACCCGACGTAACTCTGCTGGAAGACACCCGACGTAAGTCTGCTGGAAGACACCCGACGTAACTCTGCTGGAAGACACCCGACGTAACTCTGCTGGAAGACACCCGACGTAAGTCTGCTGGAAGACACCCGACGTAAGTCTGCTGGAAGACACCCGACGTAAGTCTGCTGGAAGACACCCGACGTAAGTCTGCTGGAAGACACCCGACGTAAGTCTGCTGGAAGACACCCGACGTAAGTCTGCTGGAAGACACCCCGGGTACACACTATAGTATATTTATAATCTACTGTACAAGTGTTACAGGTCTTTTGGTTTTGGTCCGAAAATACTGCGATGCAGCGTTCGGCCCTTATTCCCAATCCAACACGGTTGAGTAAACGGTCGCGTGCTCATGCGTACACCAGTCACATGGTCACCGTCAACTTACAGCCTGTTTGGGCTCGTTCCTGTCACTCACTCGAGTTGAACCCTTGAATATAGCAGCTGATCACGGACCGGTCTGTACAGCTTCGACGACAGGGGGTTCCCGACTTCAGCTCATCCAGCAGCTGTGATATCTCGGTATCAGCTTGCTGCGCATCCTTTATCTCACTGAGAGTAACGGGCCCGATAGCATGCTTGTCCGTTGCCACAGAAACAGAACAAACATCACTCAGCTCGTCTGTACCCTTGGGCCACCACCTCGGGACACGGGTGAGCTCATCGGCCGGGTTCTGGTCAGTCGGCACCCACTCCACTCGGACATGGAGGCCGACCATTTGGACGAGGTCAGCAATCACGTCCAGTCGCCGCTCAACCAGTATCTTGTGCAGCCCACCGACTTTCACTCGGCGCACATTGTCGAGGACCTGCTTCAGCCAGCCGTACACTGTCTTTGAGTCGGTGACGAGCCGTACCGTCTGCTGGTGCCATTGCGCTGCAAGCGACAGTCCACGCACCGCAGCATCTAGCTCTGCCACATTGATGTGCTTCTTACCAGCTGTGTCCCGCAGCCATGTACCGTCTTCAATGACTTGGCCGTTCAGCTGGAGGACCACACCGACTGCCAGATCCGAGGCATCGCAGAACACAGCCCAATCTCCATCAGACTCGGCTGATGCATGCCACACACCACGGACGGGGTCTTGCGCGGACAGCTGCTCAACAACTTCGTCAGCACACTGAAGAACGCTAGGTGGAACCGGCGCGTCCCATCTGTTCACTGCACTTGCTAGCCGCTTCAACATTGAGCAGACTGGATAGTGGCTTGTGAGCCGGTCCGTCCATCGGAATATACCACGCTTCGTCAGCGGTTGACGGAAGCTGAGGTCGACTCCATCGCGGCGAGCCCACATGGTGGTGCCATCAGCAGTTGTCGATAGCTTCAGGCCAAGCACTCGCGCCTCGGGTAGATGCTCTGGTGGCTTTTTCGGCAAGCCATACCGTGCTAGCTCTGCAGCGACGGCCTTGCGCTTCTCCGCTGGCGTGAGGACGTCATCGACATAGTTGTCCACATCAAGCCATCGTCGCGTCACCCACCGAACAATGATATCCATGAATTTTGGTGCAATCGATAGACCAAAACCCATCCGTAACATGGCGTACAGCTTCCCACGCCACACCACGACTTGGTAGCGCAAGAGGGATGGGTCGACTCGTACCTGCAAGTACGCCTGGCGTATGTCGACAAGTTCAAACTGGCTGGCTGCAACCTGTCGCCACTTGCGGATCTTCTCACCGCATGCTGGGGCATCAGTGCCTGGGTTCGACTTGATCACCGCATTCAAGCCACGGTAATCTAGACAAGGACGAACTGGGGTAGACTCCTTGTGGGCTTGGTCCTTGGCGAGCAGGGGAATGACGGCCGCCGGAGGACCGTGCGTAGCCTCATCGTACTCGACCAGGTAGCCATTCTCGACCCAGGCGTCCATCTCGTCACAGAACTGCGACTCTTGCTAGTCTGACAGGTTGTGCCTCGTGTACTGTCCGATCCCTGAGCCGATCGGAGATGTAGGAGCTTGCCCATCACGCCACTGCCAGTGCAACGTCCAATGCTGCTTGTCGTTGTCCCACCGGAGCTCTCCGTCTTCGGCCTTCAGGGTCACACCACGATCGTCCTCTGTGACGTCCACATGACAGAGTGTGCTCTCAACGTCAGCTGCAGCAGTAGCGGCTGCACCGGTATCTCCAGGCTGAGGACCAAAGCGCATGTCATTGACCTGGCCCTCCTGGCCATAACTGAGTCGAACGCCACCAACACCAGCTATAACATCAGCACCGAGGAGGAGGTCTGCTGCCACAGCCGTCAATGAGTTGAGTCGACAACGCATGCATTCACATGCACTCTTGGCAGACTAACCGGTTCACCATCTCCTTGGCGCTGCAGTTCCAGATCAACTGCTCCTCTGATCTTCACCTTGCTGCTATCCACGGATACAACAGACACACGTGGCTGAGCAGTGAACGGAATCTTGTGAAGTTTCAGGAACTCGACCGTAACCGTGGTGTAACTTGCACAAGTGTCCACTGCTGCTCTGGCACGTGCACATTCGCTGCCTACCACGCCTCGCACGTCTACGTAGATTCTGGGCAGTGAAGCTCTGGGAGCCTCGGCCACAGTGCACAAACACGCACCCCTCGCCAGGGAGCTGCCGTTGCTGCTCCGGACGATTTCCGTTCTTGCCAGGCTTTACGCTCTGGACAGTCACTCTTCATGTGACCTGGCTTGTCACAGAAATAACAGGCTCGAGGGCCAGTACGCTCGCCACGAGTTCCTTTACCTGCACCACTCTTGCGACCAGATTTCTTCGCTTTCGGGCACTGCCGGGCCATGTGGCCAACTCCGCCACAGTTGAAACACGCCTGCTCCTCTGTGGTGGCAGCCGCCACAACAACATCGCCACGGACTCGTGTCAAGTGGTCCGAGGTCGCAGCCTTCAACGCCGGTACCATGTCCAGGCAACCCGTCACACTCAACTCTTTGCCCGCCATTGTAAGTCTCAGCTCTCGGGCAAAGTCTACCGGCAGTCCTTTGATCAGCTGCTCTATGAGCATCGGGTCCTTGTCGTCATCAGCCTTCTGCCCCGCCATAGTACTCAGCCGCTGCAAATCGGCAACGTAGGCGTCGGGGGGGGGGGGGGGGGGACTCGTCCACGCACATAGTCCGTGATGTGAACCTGGCGTATGCCTGCGCCTTCGTCAGAGTGATCGACAGTCCCATTTTCGCCAAGACTTTATCTTTGTCTTTCTGATCGCTTGCCGGCATCCGAGAAAATACAATACGTCAGGAAGAACGGAAATTTCTTCACCTTACCACTCTTGCGACCAGATTTCTTCGCTTTCGGGCACTGCCGGGCCATGTGGCCAACTCCGCCACAGTTGAAACACGCCTGCTCCTCTGTGGTGGCAGCCGCCACAACAACATCGCCACGGACTCGTGTCAAGTGGTCCGAGGTCGCAGCCTTCAACGCCGGTACCACGTCCAGGCAACCCGTCACACTCAACTCTTTGCCCGCCATTGTAAGTCTCAGCTCTCGGGCAAAGTCTACCGGCAGTCCTTTGATCAGCTGCTCTATGAGCATCGGGTCCTTGTCGTCATCAGCCTTCTGCCCCGCCATAGTACTCAGCCGCTGCAAATCGGCAACGTAGGCGTCGGGGGGGGGGGGGGGGGACTCGTCCACGCACATAGTCCGTGATGTGAACCTGGCGTATGCCTGCGCCTTCGTCAGAGTGATCGACAGTCCCATTTTCGCCAAGACTTTATCTTTGTCTTTCTGATCGCTTGCCGGCATCCGAGAAAATACAATACGTCAGGAAGAACGGAAATTTCTTCACCTTCTTGTCGTCGGTGTCCCAACCTTGTATGTTGGAGAGCACCAGAAACTTATCCCAAAACCGTCCGAAATCGTCCCCGTTCCCACGGAACGGCTGGAGAAAGTTGTCAAACTTGAGCGACATCTCTCTGGCGTGGCAGGGTTCGCACTCGTCAATACAACACACACGTCCCGGGTTTCGGCACCAGTTGTAGTGGAACCCACGTTCGACCACCCAGCACTAACGCAGCACTTCGGATTAGGGAATGAGTTATGTATACAAGAGAGTTGGGAGAGACATACATGTAGAAGCAGACTGAAGCACACTGCACTAAAGATCGACTGAACAACAGAAAGACGGGCGTGCAATATAAGAAAGAAGTCCAGCTACAGCGTTAGCTGACAAACTAAGAAAACTGAAAGGCGGCAAAAAACAATGGAAGGTACGCATCACTAGTCCCAGTGTCTTGCAACATGAATGCAGATCCTATCTATCATGTAGCAGTAAAGCTAAACCGAACCAAACCATTCGTGCGACACGGTTGGTCAATCGGACCGCGGACCTGTCGCGCCCTTCCGGCGACATGACATATGCAGCGCAGCTCAGCAAGGTCATTGCGCGTGCGACCAGACAGCGGCTAGCCCTAATCGGGCGTTAAGCAAGAAGTGAACTGTACGTGGCTAGACACATGCACGGCATGAGAGAGGTGTACACGTAAACCGGAGGCGCGCGCATGGGTGAGCGTGTACACAGCATGCATAGCAACATAAATTGTGAAACAAGAGTCATAAGGCACCTAACACAGCAGTTCATAACACCAACAAGACCTCTTATTTTTCTTCTGATTCCAGTCTTTCTGTGTTACTGTTTTCTGTTTCCTCAGACACCTTCCTTTTGTGTTTGAAGTGGAGTTTACTGTCGTATCATCACCAAGCACACCAACGCGCAGGACCGGTTGATCTTGAACTTGAGTGGGAGAAGCAAGTACTCAAGTATTCAGTTTTGATATTCACACTAATGTACAGTCACTCTCTACCCTGACTTGAGGTGTACCTTGCTTATTGGAACGGCCAAGGCAGTGCCAAACAATTTTTACACATGCATGTAATTCTTGAGGCAATACACTTTTTGCATTTTATCTTGTCCGGAATTGCTTCCGTCGATGACTTTCACGGCCGGTCATTCTTGTCGCGGCATTGTACAGTCTGTGACTTGTGGCTGAAGCTACAACTAGTACAAGTGTTATTTGCACCTTATGAAGCTTTGCCTCTGTGCCCTGCACAGCAGAGCAACGACCTTGTTTTCTCTCTTCTCATAATTATGTACAGTGCTCTTGACTGCTGAAAGTTCATAATTATTAAAACTTCTGTATTCATCTCCTGCTCCCTATCCGCATCTGTGGTGATCTCGAATGCGTGTGGTATCTCCTGGCTCTTTTTGAAACATGGTTAACGTCAGTAACGTTATTGTACCAATTTTCGTTTGATGATCGATTAAGTTCGTGAAAAGTCAGAGTTACGAAACCGCAACTGCTCGTTCTTCTGTCTGCGTAACGTTATATTGTATGCTGACAATACAATCATCCCTCTCTAATCCGGCACTTGTTTATCCAGCACCCTTGCAAACCAGCACACCGCTTTCTGGCAAAATGGATTTTTCAGTTAATTTTGTACGCTTTAAAATCCGGCACTTGAATTCCGCCTCCGCGGCAGCGATTTTCTGCAACAAATCGCTCAAACTGTACATAATTCGGTTTTCTAATCCAGCAGGTGTACATCGCATACCGTACCGGAGCACAGCTATGTCAGTTTGGTCAGTGCATGAGCTACTTATCAGGGAGCATTCTACACATGTAACATACACTTGGGAATATCCTATGCACTGTATAGACATGCATTCCAGAAAGTGCTTGGATTAACACGGAAAATCCCTGCTTTTTGACGTACGACACAAACATGTATGTTAGTAGGTGGGCCGGGTTGCAGGACAGGACTTGATAATCCAGCACCCTTGTTTATCCAGCAGAAAATGCCGTTGCAAAAGGTGCGCCGGATTAGAGAGGGACGACTGTACTACATTGTTTTTTGATTTTTTACGTTACTACTGTTGTGAACATAGAAGTCCAGTGGAATGACCGGGCCGCGGGGACGGCACCCTGGTCTTACTTACTTAGTTAAACTGTTTGCACACGCACTGTGTAACACTTTAAAAACATGGACCAGCACTGGTCACGGCTGCACGGCCAGCGCCTCGTGGCCGCTTGACTTTGCAGCGGATTTCAATGCCCGCTACAGTAGCAGGCTGTATGTCTTGAAATTGCTATGTCACAAACAGCCCTCCTGAGTTATGACTATGCTGCCCTGGACGGCTCCAGGACTTGGCATGTGATTTGATATTAAAATTAAACTGATAACTATCGTAGGATGACCCAAAGGCAAATCGCCTATCGAGGGGTTTATCGCGTTGAATGGTTGTGGTATTACAAGCAAAGAGGCAACCATTGTGTGTGTGGGGGGGGGGGGGGGAGTTTCGAACTATGCAGTCAAGGGATAATTGTATGAAATGTGTATCATCTGTAGACGATAGATTACGGAGAAAATGTACGGGTCGGTACACACGGCCCAGGCTTGATCTGGCTGATCCAAGCCCTCTGAACCTCGTTCGGTATGTGCAAGAGTTCATCAACCATGGCTTTCGTTTCACCTCTTGTGTTCATTGCACTCAGCGCAGCAAGTTCAAGACCTTGGCGCGGGCTTGGCGGAAAATGTTAAAAAAAAACCGGCAGAATTTGGTACTGGATCACATGATGTTAGTGCACAGTTCTGGCCAGAGCAATCCGACCTCATACTGTAAGACATGTATATATAACGAGGAAGCAAATCTAACATTTTAACGGATGACATTTCTTCGTTATAATAAGACCCGTTGAGGCCGTACTGCTTCATATATGCTGTGTGTGGATATGGCAGAATACTGCAAGATCGTTAAAACATATCTTCTCGTTAACCTATGAATTTCGGACAATCGTTAAATTTGCGACTCGTTATAATAACATGTCTTACAGTAACTAAAGTAACGCTGTGCTCAAGTAATAAGTAACTTAGTTAGCAGAGTGTTC